CAACCCCCACGCTCACAGCAGAGTCGGCGAGAGCAGGTTGCTCAGTCCAGTCAGGTTTTGAGTGTCTGCAAAGATGGAGACTCCCCAGCTCCTCTGGGAAACCTGTTCCTGCGCTTGACCACCCTCCCCGTAAAAAAGGTTTTAGTATGTTTAGATGGGATTTCTTGCATTTCAGTTTGTGCCCACTGAGAAAGGTCCAGCTCCATCTTCTTTACCCCCTTCTATCCAGTAGTTTTACACATTGGTAAGATCCCCCGGAGCCTTCTCCTGACACAACAGTTGGATCACTCTCAGCCTGTATGGCAGATACTCTGCTCCCTTCATCATCTTTGTGACCCTCACACGTTGTTTAGAATTTCTTCCAAATAGCTACGCGTGTGACCCATTGCAGCGGTTTCTTTGTCGATGAGCGGTCTCCAAATTCATTCACAAAGCGATTTATGAAAGTCTTGCTTTTGCATGTCCTTTTCCCACGTGGCACCAATCTTTGCACTCAGTGGAAAATCCTTTCCTCCCCTATTTATTTTGCAAGCAGAGTGCCTTCACTACCACAGAACTAGCAAGGTTCTGCCGTATGCCAGGGACCTGGACTCTCGGAGTCTGTGCGGGGTCTTTACTCCTTGCATATTGTGTAGAGCAGTACGTCTGATGGGAACAATAGGAAAGGAAGGGATAGGGGGTTTTCCTGATTTAACGTGGTGTTTTGGGAGAGGGGAAAAAATTCAGCAGCTTTCTATTTCCATGCAAAGAGTGGAAGAAAAAGAAGTGATGTTTTAGCTGTGCGGGAGAGCTGGCCAAGGGTTTGGTTTGGTTTTCCATGCAGACACATAGCGCAACTCCCCTGGAAATCCATGGGGTGCCTACACATTTAGCAAATTAAGCTCCCCTTCAGAACTGCTTGTCGCTGTTCTTACACCATGGCAAAAAAGGTGTGTGTTCCTGATGCTTCGTCTGTCTTGCTACAGTTTGAGTTCAGTTGTCAGGCTCGCAGATACTATGGTCAAGTCTCTCATACTGAGAGATTAGTAAACTAGGTTATTGAAAATGGTTCTGGGTTCACATGTATCTTGAGTCTAAAAGGTGTGAATTTAAACTTTTTAAAAAAGTAATAGCTGCCAATGCAGTAAAATATATTTTATAAGACTATGATCCCTATATGTCCCTTACGGGATAAAATTTTATTGTTTTTAAGCTATGGTTTAAAGTTTTTATATGAGGGCTTCAGTCGCTTCTTGGTTGCTGGCTTTCCCCTCCAGCCCCAGGATGTAAGAGCACTGAGACTATTGCCGGTCTCTCTCTGAGACAAACCATGAAGCATTTTATATGCAAATAGAACGGGAGCTTTGTGCACCCTGCAGGGATGGAGAAAATGCAGATGCAGGAGCACATGTTGCTCCTACATCCATCGCAACTTCCACACCATCAGAATATGGAAAATAGCTAATTTTCATTCAGATCGATTACGTTCGAGTTTTGCTTACAAGGCGAAACCCAGTTTTGGAGGGTTCTCATCTCCAGGTATGGACATAATAAATTCCATAGCATCTCGATGACAGATAAGAGGGTTCAAGGCTGGACGGTGCCTCAGCCCCATCAGAGGTCCCTAGTAAATAGAGTCGGTTCAAAGTGTTTAAGGAAATGTACCATAAAAAACAAATGTGAATTTTTTTAATGCAACAGTATGTACTGCTCTGGGTTTTTGTTAACTCGATGTGTGCTATCACAGTAATTCAGTGTCCCACAGGTCTCAACTACAAACATGACCAGCTCCTGGTGCTGCCAGCCTGTGTGGCAACTGTACCTACAGTCTTCCTGAGGGTTGCTGAAGTCCCCAGAGGAGTGATTTTGTTTAACCATTCGTTTAGCTGATGCATGCTTTTGATATTCTGACTTATATAGCCCTGGCTACACAAAGTTCTTGGACAGCTTCTTTGCCCTGTTCCTGCAGTGCCTTCACTCTAGGTGCTGCCCTATGGTGAAACCCCGAAGAGGGAAAAGAGTAAGCTGGAGGAAAAAAATGTGAATTAAATTATTGTTGGGCTTCTTTGTGCATTTTAGTAACAGTGAAACCCCCTTAACTGTGCCAGTCTCCAGTCACCAGCCGTATATCCAGTCATCATCTCATCCACAGTACAGCTTCTCTTGTTGATGCTGGCCACAGCTAGATTACTTGGCATGTTTATTGACTTAACAGAATTGTTTTTTGGTTTTGGTTTTGTTTTTTAATGTATACGATGTTTAAATACACTTCACATTTTATATAATACTATCTGGCTATTAGTATTTTTCAGGAACCATAGTTCTTGGTGGCTATATATATTTTTGTGACTTTTTTTGTAAACTAAGTGCCGTTTCAACGTTACAATCATTTTTAGAGTTATTGTAATCAATGTGAATATCATGTTTTTTCAAATCTGTTCTGAGCCTGTAGTGTTTGCTTTGTGATCATATGTGTAATGTATATATTCTGTATAGTTACATTGTATTGAAATACTAGCTTGTTTGATATAAGAAAAGTATGTATTGGGTACCTTTTTGCTAGCCTGGTTGTTTAATCTTTAAAAAAAAATGTTCTAAAATACAAAAAAAAAATAATCTCCAAACTGGTCCCATTAGAGGTCAAAATTAAGGGGGGAGAAAAACTAGTTTTGAGTGTCTTTGGATAGAAACATGAAGCTAAGATTTTTCATTAAAATATTAATGTTTTATGGAGTATATCTTTGCTTTGTGTCGTTATTTACTGGAGTTTGTCTTGGAGTACAAAAAGACTGGCTTCGACCTTGTGTAAGAAGGTGCAGCTCTTGCTGGAGCTACATTCTCTTATAACTTTTGCTTATGATTAGTCTCAAAATAGTTGAGTACGAGGAGAACTCATTGTTGCTGAAGCTGTCATTGGGAGGAAGGTAGTTTAAAACAAAATAAGCGTTAATAAATGATTGGAGAAGTTACATGAGTAAAGAGTATTAAGAATAAACACATTTCTGTTTAATTTTCCATTGTATATTACATTTCCTTTTGTTAATGTTCTCTTTTAGGCTGTATTCTGCAAAAGTGCTGGGGCCAGCTTTTGAACGGGGTTTTATTGATGGAAAGCCAGCCAAAACCGAGCCTAATCAAATTAGTCAAAGCAGAAGATGTTTAAAAAGGACAGTAGACAGAGTCACCGTGATCGCAGCTGTGAGCTTCAAAATAGTCACGAAACAGCCTAGAGTCATGGGACTTAAAATACACCTCTGCCGTTTCTGGCAACCCTTGCAATTAAATGAATTTGCCTCCTAGAGACCCACCTGTCCGACCGAGCTGGAATGCTGGCTGGATCGACACGTAGCTAGGGCACAGGTAGGAAAATGGAAGCTTTGTAACTGCTTGGCTGAAATGATTATAACTCTGCCCAGTGCCTGTATGAGCAACAGGCGGGCTGGGATGATCAATCAATCCCCTAGCAGTGAAATTGTGGGCGGCACCTGACACGGGAGGGAAAACGAAAATGGAGAAGCATTCCATGGTGCAGGGTAAGCAGCCACAATGAACCTCGGAAGGTCGGGGGGAGGTGGAGAATTTCTAAATTCTGAGTTCTCGTTTTCTTGCGGGCCTTGCGTAGGGACAGGAGTATTTCATCAAAAGTGTAATTGGCAGAGGGAACGTATCTGGTGAAGGCTTTGGAGAGCATGAAGATATAAAGGCTTTGACTCTTGGTCTCCTGTAAAGGCTTTGACTCTGTTGGTCTCCTGCAAAAGCGAGAATTTTGCTTCTGTGGAGACAGACCGACCCAGTTAGGAGTATGCGGTGATGCTTGGCAGACCATAACAAATCTAAAGCCTGTATGACTGTATATGACCATACGCTATCATAAAGCGAAGGCAAGGCTGCTAAAACGCATACCTTCGACGGTTCAGACTTGCGACTCGAGCGGATTTTTCCAAAGCACAGCCGTATGCTTAAGTTTAGCATAAAACATCTTTTAGACGTCCTTAACAAAGCAATTGAAGTTTTTCTGTCGCCTCCTTCTTAGCGCTTAAGCGTTTTATTCCTGACAGTAATGAGGTACTGTTTCTTTTGCACAGAGGAGAGTGGCTGAGATGAGATTGAACTTGTAGCTACCGAGAAAGTCATAGAGCAGGGAACAGAGTTCTCCCAGGGCTTACTGCACCATTCCTCCGTATGTGATATCCCGGTGAAAACGAAGCTGCTAAGAGAAACCCAGCTTGGATTATGTGTAAGGTGCTTTTCTCAAGCTGCTTTGTGCACGCTGCGTCTCCAGAGCACCGAGCAGAACCCTCTCGTCCCCCTTCTTAGAGCTGAGAACGCTGTGAGGCCGTGAGCGAGCAGAGCAGGGGTAAGTGTGTATGTTAAGAGCCTCGGTTACGGCTCAGAGACGTGCGGCTCTCAGTCATTCCCGTTTTTGGGATCTGTTAACGCTTTGCCAGAGGAGACATGCCCTCCTGAATAGCATTTTTACACTCACTGATAGTAGCCCCGATTTTCTGAGTTGCCTTTTGCAAATCCTTTAGAAATCGGCCACAGACACCCAGAGTGAAAACCGTGTGTCCAAAAACCACTCTAAAGGCTCGAGTTAATTGATTCGATCATGAGTTGCCGTTGTC